TAAAAAAAATTGACGTTCCACAGATTCTTTGGAATATATGAACGTTGGTCGATGAGAGTAATAAATACACAATATGGAAACAACGAGAAGGTGACCCGGCATAAGGTCTACCGGCATATTCGACCGACTCATGTTCAGTATGAGGTCTACCGCGTCCCCTGGAACATGTCCGCATAAAAAGGAACATTGACTAGTTTACTATACAGCGATGACTAATCTCTCCTAAAAAGTAGAAAATGCAAGGTAGCAGCATTTGAACCCGAGTGGGTGATATTCGGCATCAGACCTTACGCCAGGGGTCAGGAACCTTTTTGGTCAAGAGAGCCATGAAAGGTACATATTTCCAACTGCATTTCCGTGCGAGCCATATAGCATTTCTTCACTTAATCAGGTCTGAAATTTTTACTCAAAAGTCAACACATACAATGTCAATATACATTTAATGTGACTTCACTGCGGGTCTTGAACGGCTTATCAAATGCAGCACAAGTTGAAATTTACGATACTCATAACCTTCTTTCGTTTAGGCATTTCCGTAGTATTTTTAAAACTAGCTTTGCTAGTCCGAGCTGAATATGACAAATACTGTAACGAGAATATCGGTCGGAGACCGAAGACTTATCGATCGAAACTGCGGTTTCGATTCATGACTCTATAGTGACACCGCGTGTCCCATCCCTAATTGATTAATAACTCGTTAATCATATGACATAATTCATCCAAAATCAATAGGCTTCTGTTTCGAAATGTGATGAATGTACATGCAAATTTAGAGCGGATTCAACCACGCCTTCGTGAGATATCGCGTATATCTAACAGACAGACAAACAGACAAATACCTATCAACATACTTACCGATCTAAAGATCGATAAGTAACTAGTGCATACAAACGGACAAAAAGATTTATTCTATTGTTCCGCGACTCGATCGCTGTGTGATGTCACAAAATATGTTCCAGTTTTGTCGCAATGCCTGTCTGGTAACTCTCTTAGTTAGATAGCATAGACATGCGCTGGGCGCACGTTCTCAAACGTATTGGCAAATTTTCTGTCAAATTTAGCTATAAACGAGTTTGAAATCTCGTTACAATAGTAAGCTTAGCCTTAGAATACTATATATTTCTGGGAGCCATATGCCATCACCAAAACAGGTATATATGGCTCGCGAGCCATGGGTTTCCGACCCCTGCCTTATGCCATAGTATCACCAACATAAACGAGCGGACTAGTTTAATATTATTCATGGGGTTAGTTTCAATATGAACTTTAACTGATGCTTTTAGTTCAGCATATTGTACATGCGGTTTAGTTGAAAGTAACTATTTAAAAATATTCCGATGTTCACATGCTTTGCTAAGTCTTCAGTAGTGCCAGAATTCTTAGTAAATTATTTAAAATCTCAAATCATGTATTCAGCATTCAGACATTACTTTTATTATAAGTTGAACATTCTAATGAATACTTTACATAAATGGCGATTTAAAATATAACTGCATGAAATACAGAAACATTCATAATAATTGGTATACAATACCAATATATTATATTTGTTTAATGAATGTTCCAAGGTACCTGAATATGCTCAGCATTATTTTAACCATTTTAACCGGCTAAACATCCCCATACCAAGCATGACTGACTTGAGTGAGAAAATTAAATGTTGTTGAAGTTGGTGGGTAACCTTCGTATCTGTGCTGAAATTTCATTTTTTCTTAGAGTTACTTTTATTTATTACTTACAAATGATGTGTGCATCATCTGGCTATGTAATCTGGACCAGTGCATGTGTGAAACTCAGGTATTTATGTTACTAATAATCACTGAACCAGGTCGGAACAAGGACGACATTTGGCTAATTAATTTCACTCATCACATAGTCTTAGTTTGTCGACGCAGCCTGGTATTGATATTCATCGGGACAACTCGATTTTACTGTCACTACTATTATCGCCTTTACTACAATTACAGTTACCGGCTTATTATGCAATTTGGCGTACCTAATTCAGATGACTTATTTATTGCAGAGCTTAACTTCAAGACAGGTGGAATATACCTACGTGTGCCGGTAACTAAAAAACGCCACTTACTTGGAAACTTTCATTTTTTCAACTTACTTTGAGTGTAGCTCCTTCCAACACAATAGAATTTTTTACTCTTACGCCAGGTCCTACGCCAATTGTTACGTAAAGCCCAAGCTAATTAATGAAATATACAAATTTACTAATCTTATTTATGCTGCGCTTGTATTGTGATCCTCCATACTTGAATAATTTGCACATCGCAATATAATGGGTAATCAAGGTGCATACTAACTTTTATCGCTTTACATTCTACTACAATATTCGCTATGGCACAAATTGTATTAGAAATATCCTGAGAGAAACAAAATTTTAATTTCTCTTCAAACACCAGATCATTAAAACTGGCGACACTCAAAATATTTTAGATCAGCGATTCCGAAACTATGGGTCGCGACACACTGGTGGGTCGCAAAGGGAATCTTAGTGGGTCGTGAATAGATGTAGAAAGCTTTGATTAATAGTACTGGTTATTAGGCTCGGTGGTGACTCGAATACGTAAATCTTCAAAAAAACAAAAGGAATTAGATTGAATTTAAATTCTAATCTGTGAAAGTTTTCTTTTTACGATCTTCTCAAAGACACAAAAATTTGCCACACAAAGAATGACCATGTGACTTTTTGCATAACAGTTTGTACACTGCACAGCATTTCTTACCGTGTTTCCCCAAAATTTTGACAGGATTTATTTAGATTTATTTTCCTTTGAAGAATAACACTATGTTTTTTTTTGGAAGAGGTCTTTTGTGTTCCTTTATCAAAAATAAAATTACATTATAGAAAATCACGAGATTTTTTTTAATAAACATTATATAAAAACCGACATCCATTGTTTTTATTTGTATTTTCTATACAAAAATCAAGTGACAAATATCCTAATTGTGATTGTGACATCACACAATCTTGAATAGTGGTGTGATCTTCACCTTACCTCGGGCCATCGAACCTTTCCTCTCCCACACCGGCCTGAAAATAAGACCGAATTTGAATTTTAAAAATGACTTTTTTACAGAGTCTTTAATTAAAATCATTTTTAAATTAAAATTAGATCTTATTTTCAGGTCAGGTCCTATTTTCGAGGAAACACGGTAGTTTTGCAATGATTAGTCATTGCTGTGTTCTGTGTTATGTCATAAATAGTTAAACGAGAATATCGGTCAGAGACCAAAGACTTATCGATCGAAAGTTAGGGGATCCCCCAAAAAGCGCTCTTACTCCATAGTGACACCTTGTGTCCCGTCACTAATTAATTTATAACTCGCTAATTATGCGACATGATTCATTCAAAATCAATAGGCTTCTGATCGGACATATGATGAATGCACATGCAAAATCTGGAGCAGATTCAATCTCGCTTTCGTGAGATGTCGCGTGCATCTAACAGACAGACAGACAGACAGACAAATACCTATCAACATACTTACCGATTAAAGTCGATAAGTAATAAGTTGTGGTAATAAATAGTGGATCCCACTCTAAAAAGTTTGGGAACCACTGTTTTAGATAGTTGTTACTTTAATTTTTTATTTCCATGTAGTTTTGCCATGCACGAAGAGAATAAAATAACAGTTGAAATTGAGCACAAAATAAAAGATTTCGTAGCAAAATTATTGGAATTCACAAAAATGGCGATTATCACTAATCAGTGCATAGTAATACGAATTTAAAACCGCGATTTATATAATAATTGACAACCTTATTATAAGCTAGCCAATATACCTTGATTATGACTATTCATAAACTCCCGTTAGTTATGGCAATGGTCAACTATAGAATACAAATGGCTTACCACAGCTATTACGTCAACTTCAGAAGTTTTATGTATGGCCACTGAGTTTTCTTGAATGTTTTTAATATTGAATAATTTGCGCTGCGGCCCACTAGTGCTACCCTATACTAGACATATTTTGTGCAAACTCTACAGCTCACATTTTTGACAAATAGTAGAAATAATATTTTTGTTGAAAAATGTGATCAGTACGTCATTGCGATCTTCGCTTCAAGTCTCTCGAACAAAAATAACGTTAACTTATTGCAGTAGTTGCATCTCATACTAATAGATGTCATGGCAACATGGTTTAAATTGATATTTATACACTAATCCAGGGCTACTCAACTATTTTCACCAGAGGTACGTTTAGAAAAACTTCAAAATTACTGCTGAAATTACAAAATTTCAGAATGAAAATTTATTGGATTAACTAAACGAAACTTCAAATGCATTTTTAATTGAATACAAGAGCAATGAATTGCTCACAAATATGGATACACATGTCGCACATCGACACCGGTACGGCAACTGTATGGATGTTTCCCCGAGCATCGTTCTCCTTGTTTATTTCTGTGACAATGAGCAATCAGCAAAAAGTCAACGATGACGTTTAACAATTATATTTTTTGAAGCCGCTCAGATACTTCGTTCGCTCAGACAGCTATTCAAGAATGGCTGTAAACAAGCCGAGCTTTTGCGGATTCGCGTGTTATTTGTCAGTTTTGGGTTGTGTTTCTAAAAATTAGTTGTAAATGAAGTATTGTAATGTTCCTTATGTCTTCCGATAAGCTTTGGTTTAATTACAATAATCAAAAAAGAGTCCCCGGAAAGCTGCGATAGACTATGCTTAAATAAGCGTGTAAGCGGCACGCGGTTGTATATTTTTATAAAAATAATGGTTTTGAGCATGCAAACCAGTTTGTAAATGTCAACTCTCTGAAACACTTGCAAAATACGCATCCAAAGTTTTGCAATGGTGAAATATAGGGAGAATGTTTCTGAGGTCAAAGGTCGGAAAACATCCTATGAATCTTTCCATGCTGTGTATGTAAATAATGTCAAAATCATCTGAAACTATAGAACGATGCTTGTGCTGCCAAAAGAAACAAGCAGACGGGGTCCAAATTGAATGATCAAAAGGACGGATTCGGACCGCGGTCCGCCAGTTGAGTAGCCCTGTACTAATCATATGATATGCATCAAGCTATATACACAATATTATGTAATGTATTGTCATGTCAGGTTTTGGGTACGGGAGCCTGATTGAAGATCGAAAATGTGATAATCAAACTTCCTACATCTCCACGTGGATATTAATCTCAAAAGACATACTGTAATGCCAAAGTGCAAATAGCTATCGAATAAAGTTGGCTTTAATCAGTTCAAATTGCTTTCTTTCAATAAATCAAATAAACAAACAAACAGAGAACATCCTTCAAGCATCTTGACATTCATTTACTTTCATCTCTCCAAGTTTTACATCACTCTGAGACCCGTTGAAGCTTATATTAAAAATTTCTGATACGGATTGCAGTGATTTTTTTGTAAATGACCTCTGAATGGCAACTGAGGTTCTTCTATGCGTCTCCGGTATAACAAACATAGCGAATGGTATAACCATAGTTGTGAGAACGAGAAATGGAATCAGCGAAAATGAACCCCATGACTCGATAGAATAGGGAAATACAAAGGAAATTATCCCCCCCAAAATCCAGAACGTACATTGGCTATAGAAAATGACAGTGGATCTGCTGCTTGCAGTTGTCAGTTCAGACGGTAAGGCAGCTATAGAAAACAATGGACCGATCTGAAGACCAAAAACCATCAAAAACATGCTGACAATCACAAGCAAATTTAAACTCGGATATTTAAAACGAAGTTTATCTGAGACAATGAACAAAATATAACTCGAAGATACGATGAATAGACCGAAAACCAGTACTTTCTTTGTGCCAAACTTTTTCTGCAATGGAGAGGAAACAGCAAATGCCAAAATGCACTGAAGAAATAGTCCCATTGACACCAACGTAACGTACTCCTCGGCAACTCCGGCATTTAGAAGCACAGAATTTGAATACATAGTAATGACCTGGAACATTAAATACAGAATGAAATGTAAAAATGTGTAAAACTCCATCAATATTGACTGGACAATCACAGCAAAATACTGTTTATTTAAGTGTGATATTGTCATCCAATCTCTGTTTGGTGATATTCCCGTTTTGTAAACTCTGTGGATTTATTAGATAGATGGTTGTAACTTCAACCCGATTATTAAAAATTAAATTAAAATATCTCCACCGACCTGAACTCCTCCGAACTGTGGTGAGATCATTGCAATGATGGTTACAAAAAATTGGAATCGGTAATGAGGAGATCGTAGAAGCGTCATAAGAGACATCTCGGTTTCTCCAGCATCGCATTTTGATTCTTCTTCCAAAACTTCAAACTCGTCATTGACATCAGCTGTTATCACAATAAAACGAGAATACTTCTATTTTATATAAACATTCATATTTTACTCAACGAGAGCATCTATATACTTGCAAAATGAAAAAAAAATAGACAAGTGGTCACTATTCCAGTGCTTCTCAGCTTTTTTCATATCGCGGCCAAATTTATTAAGGATTTTTTCAGCGGCTACAATAACTTCAATAAGTCGACACAGGGTTGTCCAAAACAAATCGAATATTTGAATATCAAAGCAAGTTCTAAGTAATCAAATATATTTTCGAATAATAGTCACTTTTAGCTTACCGGTGGGTGTTTCGTATTCGAAATACCGTGGGATTTTGGGGAAATTGATGGTAAAACATTTTGTTATGAATTTCGTTTTCATATATTTGAGCATAGCTCTCTTGTTAAGAGCAAAATATATTCAGCATTATATTTTGCATGTCTTTTCTCACATGTATTCCTATTTAATAGACCAGTGGTTCCCAAAATGTGCGCCGTAACGAGTTGTCATGTGCGCCGCAATATTTAAAAGAATTGAGTTAAACACAACTAAAATATGGTTAAATATTTTGCATAAACTACCGTTCATGTCGTTTACTTTCTGTTTCGTAGTGTCTACCTTTATTGTTCGGCAATAATGGAGTTAGATACTACTTGCTGCAATTTGTGACTTGCAGTTCATTCATCTGCTGAACCGCGAACATTAGTGATTATTTTGAGCATTAAAAAAAAAAACGGGCAGATAGAGAAAAAAGAGTTGACTTTTTGCCTTTATTCCTTAATACTACATGTTTAGTAACTTCAAAATGCATAAAGCACACAATAACGATCCCAAAATTACGTTTTAATTAAAAACAGAATTTTTTCGTGTGAGTGCGCCGCACGAACAGAAAGGGAACTGCTGTAATAGACGCTTAATCTAAATGCTTTCTGGACACGTTAGTGGACATAACGATCGTTTTTCATTATTTTTTTCCTTGTTCTTATTGTATTCATCTTAGTATCGTGATGAAAAAAATCGTTTTTCTCATTGATTACTGGACCATTTGCTTTGAAATTTTCAGTGGTTAAAGATGGAATTTTTTCCTAGAAGGCTATTACTTTTATATTATTTTCAAATTTTCTTAGAATCATATGAGATTTAATATTTCAATATTATTTTCGATGTATTACATTTTAATCATGAGAACACCATTTTTAATCTGCCAAGCGTGACGGCCGATTCTGAAAATTCTTGCTCAAGAAACTCGGAAGATTCTTGAGGTTACCGGTACGCGTATTGTTGTGAACTACTGCTTCGCTTGGTGCACATATATTTGTAGACTGCGGTATTTACTGTTATGATACCGTGATAACTCTAATAAGTTGGTATTTCAATTGAAGTTGAACAGAGTCGCGAAAAAAACTGGAAAATCCGTGTACCTGTAACAGTGTCGATATGGAGGAGGGGCTTGCAGTCACAGGTATGATTAATTTCTTTTAATATGAGGGCTTGTTTGAAATAGGTAAATTGTGTCGTACTGGGTACCGGTACTAGTAAGTCAGTTACCATAGTCATGTAGCTGTTTCACTGTTCACTGTTCGTGCAGGATACTCTATGGTTTTCGGTGAAGTGATGATAATATATTTCGTTTTATTCTACGTGTCCATATATTTTAACACAGCTCTCTTGTTTTTTATTGATTTGCTTGCTGTTGGACCGTTCTGCGGTTAAACATCAGTTAAGAGTTAAGATCTGCTTTAAGTAACACTATCAAAAAATTGTGAGAAATATATGCCGTTGGAAATGATTTTGTCAACAATAGAACTATGATTTCCATGCAATATTGTCCTAAAGTACTATTTGTTACACTTTTGGTGCTGTTGGCGCATTGAAAATGTAAGTGGTCTCTATTGGGAGGTTGCACAAAAAGTTTTGAATTTAATTAGATACGGATCGTTATTCCGTTGATTGCGTCATACAAAAATTTAGTTGAATCCATTTGCGGCAAACGTCATGAGTTAATAACAAGGTGTCATAATGAGCAAAACGTTATAAGCTATCTCTGAGCATTATCTTTTGCTGAAATTAACAAAATTGAATTTCAAATATCTGCAATGTATCTTCTTGATATTAGAATAAGTTGCAAAACCTTATGGTATGAATTTGCTAAAGGTGGAAAGCGTTGCTTTTAACTTAAAAACTCGTCTGGGAATGTGAATGGGCATATATATATTTCATAAACCGTGTGTAACCCCGTGGCCCTGTTATTTCCACAGCTCCTGCGTACATCTCACCGGTATCTATTCGCACAATTTCTCCAATCCCAAACGCCCGCGAGTATTTCACCGTGTTTTATCACATCTATTCGATTAATGTCACAAGAAAGGGGTCTGATTAGAGAGCATATAATCAAGCTTATCTCATGCCACAAGGTGTCATTTCCCATGCAGCATTCATGTATACAATCTCATTTAAAGTTTTGGCAACTTTGCTGCTGAATTTCGACCTGCGTTGAAACTATCTTGGAATAATCGCTGTTTGCGAAATTTGTACCTCGTCTGATGGAGTCGCATTCAATTTTGACGATGACTTTTTTTTATTTAGCCCATCATTAAACCCTTTGCAAAAATGATTTACTCAAACAGCATTTTTTTCTTTCCAATTGAAGCTCAATTTTAGGCCCTCACAATTATCAATAGAATTTACTTTTAAATATTAAACGTTATAGTTGGTACTATCTTGAAGCAATCGAATCAAAACAAATCGATTATTCGCTGTTTGCGAAATTTGTACCTCACTTCACAGCATGGCTCTGCTGCCTCCTACAACGTGCTGCCCGGGGCGGTTGCCCCCTTCGCCCTCTTTTGAAAAATATGATCACCACGTCAATGCGATCTTATCTTCAAGTCTCCCGAAAACAAAAGAACGTTAACTTGTTACAGTAGTTGATCCTCACTAATAGATGTCAATGCAACGTGATTTAAATTGATATTTATACACTAATCATATGATATTCATCGAGCTATTTACACGATATAATGTAATGTATTGTCATGTCAAGTTTTGGGTACGGGAGTCTGATTGAAGATTGATAAATTGATAATTGAACTTCCTACATCTCCACGTGGGTTTTTATCCTGAAAGACATACTGTAATGCCGAAGTGCGACTAGCTATCGGATAAAGTTGGCTCCGATCAGTTCAAATTGCTTCTTTCAATGAATGAAATAAACAAACAAACAGAGAACATCATTCAAGCATCTTGGCATTCATTTTCTTTCATCTCTCCAAGTTTTACATCACTCTGACTCCTGTTGTAGCTTATATTGAAAATTGCTGATGCGGATTGCAGTGACTTTTTTCGAAATGACCTCTGAATCGCAACTGAGGTTCTTCTATGCGTCTCCGGTATTACAAACATGGCGAATGGTATAAGCATAGTTATGAGAACGAGAAATGGAATCAACGAAAATGAACCCCATGGCTCGCTAGAATAGGGAAATACAAAGGAAATTATTCCCCCCAAAATCCAGAACGTACATTGGCTGTAGAAAATGATAGTGGGCCTGCTGCTTGCAGTTGTCAGTTCAGACGGCAAGGCAGTTATAGAAAACAATGGACCGATCTGAAGACCAAAAACCGTCAAAAACATGCTGACAATCACAAGCAAATTTAAACTCGGATATTTAAAACGAAGTTTATCTGAGACAATGAACAAAGTATAACTCGAAGATACGATGAATAGACCGAAAACAAGTACTTTCTTTGTTCCAAACTTTTTTTGCAATGGAGAGGAAACAGCAAATGCCAAAATGCACTGAAGAAATAGTCCCGTTGACACCAACGTAACGTACTCCTCGGCAACTCCTGCATTTAGAAGTACAGAATTTGAATACATGGTGATGGCCTGAAACGATAAGTATAGAATAAAAATAATATGTGAAACTAAGTAAAACTATTTCAATAGTGACTGTACAGTCAAATATGGTTTTATCAGAATCTAATCAAGTTGCAATATAGACAAGTAATTATACAAAATCAACTAGTTTAATGACAGTGTGTCATTCTAATGTATAGGCTGTTTGGTGATATTCCCGTTACATAAACTCTGATGATTTATTGGATGAATGGTTGAGACTTCAACCCGATTACTAAAAATAAAATATCTCCACCGACCTGAACTCCTCCGAACTGTGGTGAGCACATTGTAATGATGGTTACAAAAAATTGAAATCGGTAATGAGGAGATCGTAGAAGCGTCATAAGAGCCATCTCGGTTTCTCCAGCATCGCATTTGGATTCGTCTTCTAAAACTTCAAACTCGTCATTGACATCAGCTGTTATAACAATAAAACTTGAATACTTCCCTTTTTATAAACATTTATATTTTACTCCACGAGAGCACCTATATGACTTGAGCAAAATGAAATAAAATAGACTACAGATCACTATGGACTATTCAATACTGTAGAGCGGGGGTCGGCACACTGCGGTCCGCGGGCCGAATGTGGCCCGCAAACAAATTTTTTGCGGCCCCCGAGCGATTTTAATTCATTAAACAAAAATTGATTCTAAATGTTATTGTATCCACATGGATTTATGTGGTAACAAGTGCCGCTGTTCATCGCTTGTTTTATAACAAGTAGTATCAGTTGTAAGTCGTTTATTTGATGAACGTCCAATCGTTGATTGTAATTAAAAAATTTAAAAATGTCTGGGAAACGAAGGGAAGTTTGCGACGAGAGCCGAACTTTCCGAAGTGCTTATGCTTATCGCGCTTTTCAAAACCAGTTTGCTTGATATGCCAGGTCAACATCACAGTTATTGAGGTATTTGATGTTAAACGTGTCATTGAAAAAACAAAATTCGACCCCGAGCTGCTCCTCTGTGCGACAGTGTAAAACGTGAAGTGTGTAGGTTCGAAAGCACATATTGCTGTGAGAAGCCCGCGAGAGATATTTGACCCGCGAATACATAAAGTTTGCCGACCACTGCTGTCTTTGCTTTCTGTGATCAGTTTCGAAGTATATGGTCGCTATTGCTCTTTATTAATATTATGACAATTTCCACAACGTTATAAATTAGGAATTGCCATAAGTAAGAATGTCCAACTAAACTATTTATCAGGCATAATCTGATGAGCAAAGTTGATGAAAAAACTAAGCAATGTTTCCTGACCTGCTACAATATTCTTCCTTCTTTAACAACCTATATTTGGTATACATTTTTTTCACCCCATTATTTACTTTTTAGCTACCCGGAAAAAGATATTTTATTAGGAAACTCTGAAAGTAATTCATTTTAATACACCAACGCTAGTTCGCGGTGCACGATCGAAAATATTGTTATACCTGCCCGCAATTTCTTCATCACAAGAAGTGCTCCACTCCGTCCCTTATGCTTGAGTAGGTATACTGGTGTTTCAGTGATCACAGGCCAACAAACGATGTATAAGAGAGAAGCTAAAATTGGCACACACATTATCCACATCCATAATTGGGCAGTTCCTAAAGCCTGTAAACATGATAAATATTAATTAATGTCAATATTATACCGTGTTTATATGTAAAGATTGAATAAAGTAGAAAATTTATTAAATCTGCGCGAGACCTAATGAAGGTTGCTGTAAAGTGTAGATAATATATGACTGAATATTACTACATAGCAAGCGCTCTATAAATAACGCGAATATCATTGGTATTTATAGGATTTTAACATTATATACGTTATGAACATGATAATAATGAATCATTGCGAACATCGAAGAACGTGAAATTTCCTCTCATTATGCATCGGAGATTGCAAGCTTTTATATTTATGGTAATTTTGATCTATTTTAAAAGTGAGCAACTGTACAGATCTGCTCAAAATATTTAGTTGAGTGCGATCATTATCGTTTTTCCGTGAAGAAATGTAGCGGGTTAGATTTTAGATTTACCTTAGCATGTCCAACACTAATCCCCACTGCACACGATACAAACTGCATCGTGGAAAGCGGACTTTGGTAAAATCCAAGTCTCGATCTACACGTTGTTTCGGCAATGAATACTAATACTGCTGAAAATCCAATAGACCTCGCTACCCCGTTCAAGAATCTTCCAACAATAAGACTTTCGTACGAATGATAATATTTTGCAATAGGACCCATCAACACTGAAGATATTATGAACAATATATGAACGAGCAGGATAGCCATCTTCCGACTGTGTAAACAAAATAAAAGTATATTTAACAAGCATCATTCAAAATCTACCCGACTGGCACAGATTCATGTCAGGCGTTGTGAAAATAGCTACAATGAATAATATATTAACGTAAAGTCAAATGAAAATGAAAAAAAAAGATTTATTGCATTAATCGGGAATAACTTATATATAAAAATTCAAATTTATCGCTGAATATTATTCCTTATAAACATTTGACGTTCGACCGGTTCTTTGGAATATATGAACGTTGGTCGATGAGAGTGCCGCGTATTTTTCTTCGTAAGATAATAAATACGCAATATAGAAACATCAAGAAGGTGTTCCTGCTATAGCATGAAATCTACCGCAATATTTTACCTACTCCTGTTCCGTATGAGATCTACCGCGTCCCATGGGACCTGTTCGCATAAAATAGAACATCGCCTATTTAACTATATAGCAAGGAGTGATCGACCGTAAAAAGTAGAAGATGCAAGGCAACTGAATTTGAACCCGAGGGGGCGACATTCGGCGCCAGACTTTACGCTATATTCACGGCGCACTTACGCGAAAAAAATGTAGTTTTTCGAATAAAACTCAATTTTGATATCGCTAATGTGTACTTTATGCAACTTTACAGATTTTAAACACGTGGGCATAAGGAATGAAGACAAAAGGTCAACTCTTCGTCCTCATCTCTGCTCGATTGTCCTTCAAAATGCTGGAAAAATCACCCATATTTGCTAAACGGTTCGGTTCAGTAGATATATATATAAATGGCAGCTCACGAAATTGCACCAAGTAGTTTCTCCCACTATTGTTACGTAACAATAGAGGCAGACATTACGTAACAGGAAGTAAACGACATAGAAAGTAAAATAAATTTATTGATTTATATACACATCATTTAAAATAAGAAACAAAAAAATATTTATAATAAATACGATATCTAAAATATACTATTAATTTTCGCGGCGCACCTAGCAACTCGTCACGACGCAACCTTTGGGAACCGCTGCGCTATACTATAGCGACTGTAGTATCACCAAAATGAAGAAGAGGACATTTTATTGCTATTCGTGAGGTCAGTTGCAATAATATTCAGATATTTATATGCTCTGCAAAATCTGCATTATGAGTGCCAGAATTCTTAGTAAACTACTTAAATCATCTATTCAGCATTCAGACATTACTTCTATTATAAGTTGCACATTCTAATAAATACTTCACATAAATAGCGATTTAAAATATAATGACACATCACACTCACTCATAATAAATTGTATACAATACCAATATAATATATTTGTTTAATGAATGTTCCAACCTACCTGATCTTGCTCAGCATTATTTTAACCAGTAAAGATCCGGCTAAACATCCCCATACCAAGCACGACTGACTGAGAGTAAAAATTAAATCTGTTGTTGAAGTTGGAGGGTAGTCTTCGTATCTGTGCTAAACATTTTCATTTTATGTTAACGTTACTTTTATCTATCACCCCAAAATAAATGATGATGTACATCATCCGGCTATGCAATCTGTATCAGTGCATGTGTGAAACTCGGGTATTTATAACACTAATACTCACTGAACCAGGTCGAAGCAAAGACGACCTTTGGCTATTTCAGTTCTTGCAGATTTTAGTAGGCAAGCTTCATATTTATTTCCCTATTCATTAATTTTATAGCTTGCTTAAGTGCTAGTTTGTAGATTTGTTTATTAAACTCAAATCCGACGCAGGTCAGGATTGATCTTAAAAGAAACAACTCGATTTAACTGTCATTACTATTATTTCTATTACTACAATCTCAATTACCGACTTATTATGCAACTTGAAGTATTTTTTTCATATGACTCGTGTATTGCAGGGTTAAACTTCAGGTCAGATACATAAGCACCAGTTCCGGTAATTAAAAAACGCCACTTACTTGGAAACTTTCGTTTATGAAAACTTTTATTACAGGCGTTAGTGAATTCAGTGCAGTCAAATGAAATCCCATTATGAACGCATACGGGATTTCTGTGATGAAAATAACGAAAACGCAAAAATTCGAGTTTTGTTCTTTGTTAGTCGTTCTTCTTTCCATTTTTTGCACAGTGCATGAAAAATTCACTGTTAATTTATTGAAATCTGTATTTAAAATTTCCATGATTCAGGACGTAAAGAAAACAAACTTCAGGCAATAACAAACAAACACGAGAATATCAGTCGGAGACCGAAGACTTATCGATTGAAATTTAGGGGATCCCCCAATACAGAAACTGCGGTTTCAATTTCTTCACTCTTACTCCACAGTAACACCACGTGTCCCTTCACTAATTAATCAATAACTCGCTAATTATACGACATAATTCATCCAAAATCAATAGGCTTCTGGTCCGAGATATGATGAATGCACATGCAAAATTTGGAGCAGATTCAACCTTGCTTTCGTGAGATATCGCGTGTATCTAACAAACAAACAGACAAACAAACAGAGAAATACCTATCAACATACTTACCGGTAAAGATCGATAAGTAATAATAAGTTTTAACTTTTAACAAGATTCATCTCAAAATTGAAATTCCATTATACCACGGTGCCGCACTAGTCGCTAGAATGTAGTTAAATGAATCAACAAATCACGTTAAATATAAGAATGAACAAACTTGACCTGGGCTTTGAATGCTTACAATAGAATTCATGTTCCCTTGAGGCTGCTTTTTGTGAATCAGAAATACCATGAACATGGATACTTGCTGTTGGACCGTTAAACAGCAGTTAAGAGTTGAGGTCTGCTTTTAGAGACACTCTCAAAAAATTGAGAGAAATATATGCCGTTGGAAATATTTCGGTCAACAATAGGACTATAGAAAACGTAAATAGTCTCTATTGGGAGGTTGCACAAAAAGTTGTGAATTTAATTAGATATAGAATAGATAGTTATACCGTAGATTGCGTCATACAAAAAGTTAATAGAATATAATTTCGGTAAAATTGATCAGAAGATCAGAATTGGCAATTTCATTCCGTGTTACCTCCCATACATACATAGCTCATGCCTACTCTCAAATCGTCCTGTAAACCTTGTACGAAACTATCGGCTCAAATCTTGCTATTTACCTCAACACCAGTATTTCTTGTGCAAATTCAAGTACTTCCATTTCTAAGGCTACTCAATTACTGTCCTATATTTTTCCAAAACTAATATTTTCTTATTCATTGCCTTTCCAATAAACCCGCATAATAAAATCCAATGGTTTGGTATTGATTTTGCATAGGGGAAGTTATTGTTTTGTAAAAAAGTTTAGCGATAACAAGATACTATGTATATACACCTATAGCTTTAGCTACATAATTACTTACTATAGTCTATAGACTTTAAATATCATACGTTTCATTAGATGTTTTGACAGCAAATCTACTGTATGACCTAAGGCATGCGAATATTTTATCTCCAACATTTATTTATATTAAATTTGGGGAATTTTAAAAATGAACCGTTTTTCGTTTAAACGGGCCCAAAACGTGCGAGTTAAGTAATGTTATATATACCTTTCCACTTTTATTTTTTTGTTGTATCTGAAATAAATTAATCCTCTCTTACTTTCTATTACAAACAATAAACGAATTTTTATGAATCAAAAACTCTTTAAGCATATTTACGCTAGAATTCGCTTCAAGATGAATCGTGACGTTTCATGCAAAAGGATTGTAGCAACATTACAGCATGATTTATGCGTTGCTAGCTACATAAAGGAAACGATTGACGCTTAATTGCCGGGATGTACTCGACTGAAAAACATTAGGTATATACTTGTTATAGCATCATAATTGCAAAAATCACTGCAAGGAATGTCTGTCATCTTATCGACTTTAAAATATAAACTTTCAACTATGCCAACCCTATTACCAACTATCAATATATAAGTAGGAACATTTTGCAACTTGATGTTATTTATAGCTATCTACGTGTCTGCTTAGCCGTGACGAAATCCACAAGAGATGATGTCGACACTGCCATGCCGAATACTTTAAACTTATATACCACACGATATCATATCGATAAAAATGATTAATCTCGTGGTACAATAAAGCTGTAGTCTATATGTCAGCATTTTCAAGTCAATGTTATGTAGCATACACCGCAGGAAGACCAACGGAAAATATTTTATTTTGAACAGTACGGAACATTTTGCAACTATTTTCTGCAACCTGATGTTATGACTACCTACGTGTTTCCGTGTCTGCTTAGCCGTGGCGGAATCAACGAGAGCATATACCAAAGGATTGCGCAGCGGAAAATATTTCTACCACATACCTTTTTATTACTAGATACCGTTAGTCATCATTGAACAATAGCATGAATGCTTTTTAATTGACGAGTTAACTGTGTAGCAGCATCAGTTTGATTTATTTCATGCATATTTTGCTCTTTGTTTGAGTTTGGCTTAAAAGGTAACTTACGTTAAATTTATGCTTGGTTTTGAAAAAACTGTAAGACCTGAATTAGAATGTACAGGCTAATATGTGTCCGCATTTATTACTGCGGTATTTGTGTTTCCACAGCTCCGTCTTTTATCATATATATTCGTGTGATATCACAACAAAAAATTCGATTAAAGAGCATCTTATCAAGCATTTCCTATGCGACAAGGTGTCATTGTCCACTTTTAGTGGTTTCAACATTTGGCTATTTGGCAACACAAGTTTTTGCGATTTTGCTGAATTTCACCCTACGTCTGAACAATAGTATTACAATCGAATCAAAGTAAATCGATTAATCGCTGTTTGCAAAAATCAAAATTCGTCTGATGAAGTTGGACTGGGATTTCACTTAGCCCATCGTTGACCTTTTGCAAAAAATGTATTCAATCTAACAGCAAATTGAACTCAATTCAAATTAACCTAATTTTAAACCCTCGCAATCATGAACAAAATTAGCATTCAAACATTGCACGGTATAGTTTATTATGGTGTATACCAAAATGCTTTACCAAACAAATGTAAGTCAATGCACATATATATTATCCCAATAAATACAAAAAATCAAGTATACGAGTACACAAGCTTATAAGATGAGAGAAGAATCAATTCACAGTAGAATCTGGTTTTTGAATCCACGGGAAAGATCTTTGTTCGGCATTACTATTGAGTTACGGATGACAACCTCTGGAGGAATGATAACGTCGCGACCTGCACAAAAAGATCTTTAGTCATTCAGCTCATATTTGAGTAAATAGGCCTCGATGTGCTAGTGCTATAGGGTATAAAGGTTTATGTATGTTCATTGTAAAAACTTAGAATATGTCGACTAATTGCCCAGTACCACTTATAATAATAAATTGAGAATACCAATGGTTCTAAGTTTATCGCTATTTTCTTCGTTGTTTCTGAAAATTCCTAAGCCCTATATGATGATGTAAGCTGATTGAAAAGTGATTTATTCAATTAGGAATTCTTTTCAGGTTGAAAATCGCTGGGTAAAGACTATACTTTTAGGTAAGATACCACCCGTTCTTTTTGTAAATCTTTGAGATTTAGTATATGCTTGTATGGGGATTGTCAAGATCACGAGTATATATAAATTCATGTAAATGTTCTCATGTGTAAAATGCCACATATATTTCAAAACTTATAGTATGTTTTGGTTTATTGCATGACTGTTTAAAACGGAATAATCAAAGTTGCTAACTTGGATTTCTTTTGAGGGAGGGGAAATCGCAATGTACTTGATTATAAAATTCAATAGTAGTTTATAATGTAATATGAAGATATCATAAACAATACCTAAGATAGTGATTGAAGGTCGAAGTCTCCCGTCTTCATCAAAAAGATAGAAATTATCAGTGGTAGCATGTGGTGCGTTCGGATCAAGCTCCGTTGGAGTTCCTTCTACTCTCGCCCACTCACCAACTACAGAATGCCAGCCAATAATGCTATTCAAGATGCAACAATGGTCCTAAAATAAATAAGAACATTTAAAGTTACAGCTACATATCACTATTCAATGCTTTAAAATAAATAGTTATGCTTTCCACTAAAACAGATATATAAATATGTATTAGGAATTTTTAAATATGGTATTTACTTATATTATAGTGTATCTATAAAATATTTAAGTGCATATCCTATGATTCTAATATAGTAATAGAAATAGTCCTTTTTGCTTGACAAACCAGTTCTTAGAGTTGTATTTTTGGAAAACAAGTTATTACACAAATTAACTATAAGCAGCGGTATTTGTTTGAAACACATGCAATTTTTATAATCATATAGCCAGAAACCAAAAAATTTGAAAATTTCAGTATTTGTAACCAAAAATGAGCAAAGATAAAAACTTTTATACGATTCAATATTTTTTATATTTCCTATAACACACAAATGATACTAAAATTTGTTCAACTTACTTTGAGTGTAGCTCCCTCCAACACGATAGAATTTTTAACTCTTACGCCAGGTCCAACGACAACTCCTGCGCCAATTGTTACGTAAGGCCCAAGCTAATAAATAAAATAAACCAATTTACTTATTATATTGATGTTGTGCTCCCACCTACCATACTTAATAATGTGCACATCGGATTATAATGCGTACGCGAGGTCTATACTAACTTTTATCTCTTTACATTCTACTAATCGCTGTGGCGCAAAGTGTATTTTGAACATCCTAACGCAGCGGTTCCCAATGGCTGCGCCCCCACGAGTTGCTAAGTGCGCCGCAAAAATTAACAGAATTAACAGGGCTGAATATATTTATATGATTGAATATTTTACATAGTGTACTTGTTATGAATGTTTTATTGTTTCTCATTTTAAATAATGTGTATATGAATCAATAAATTCATTTCCCCTTTATATGTCGTTTACTTTCTGTTACGTAGTGTCTGTCTCTATTGTTACGTAGCCATAGAGGTAGACACTACTTGGTGCAATTTTGTGAGCTGCGGTTTATTTATCTGCTGAACCGAGTTTAGCGAACGTGAGTGATTTTTTAGCATTTCGATAAGAAAATCAGACAGAGATTTATTCCTTGGGTCTACATGTTTGCAAACTTCAAAAGGGAAGTACACATTAACAAACACAAAATTGAGTTTTATTTAGAGATAGCATTTTTTTTCGTGTACGTGCGCGTGAGTTTTTTCCCTGATAATTTGGCGCCGCACGAACAAAAAGTTTGGGAAGCGCTATCCTAACGAGAACAGTTTTAATTCCTCTCCAAACACCCGGTAATTCAAACTGGCCACACTCAACATATTTCAGATAATCGTTACAATATTATTGTATTTTCATGTAGTTTTGCCATGTACAAAGATAAAAGAAATGGTAATTAATAATTAAAATTTTCAAACAGTTGAAATTGAGCTCAAAATGGAAGGTTTCGTAGCAAAATTATTGAAACTCATTTACATTGGTACAAAAAATGCGATTATCCCTAATCAATGCATAGTAAAACGAATTGATTATCGCGATTTATATATCAACCTTATTCTAAGCTATTTATACCATAACTATATTATAACTATTCATAAACTCACGTTGGAAGTGCCCAGAAGTGGTCAACTATTATAGAATACTAATGGCTTACCACAGCTGTTGCGTCAACTTCAGCAGTTCTATGTATGGACACTGTTCCAATGCAACCCGGATGATCTGTGAGACGATCAGGATGAGTTTTCTTATATGTTTCTAATATTGCACGGTTTGCGTACAATGCAGATCTGTGAACAGATTTGAAATTGTTAGATTTGATGACAAATGTAAAACTGTTTTCAGTCGTGTTCTTGCCTCTATAAAACCCATTTTATTAAAAGCGAGAGTCATCTGGTTTATAACAACTTGTATGTAAACTAGAATACTTGCAGGTTATTTCTACTAGATTACGAAACTAATAATCATTCACATCACGTGGCTTGTATGCATGGTTGATATAGGTTCTTGAATGACAAATTATTGTACTTTATTGTATTATTGTACTGTATTTGAATTTTTGCTTCTGTCATGATAGATCCAGCTACCATGTTACCATTTACATTGATTCCATTGAGTAGGCCTGATTTGGTGTAGGATAAAATTCGAGTTTTTAAACAAGCCTTTAGCTGGAATATTTAAAATATAAATGCACTTACCCTGCAGACTTGATGCTCATCCAAAACCGGTCACATTTGTAAGCAAACAATTTTCCTCTCGTAGCTAAAATAGGGAAAACATCTTTCTCGAAGAATATCCGGCCAAGAGTTTGTTGCAGAGGTGAGTAATTGTCAAAAACTGTTTCTTTGCTGTCCTCTATGTCGAGCAAGTTGATTTGACGCGCTATGGGTCTAAAATATGATTTTTCTGAATTAAATTTGGTGTTCGATTGCTGGGGCATATAATAGATCAAACTTTTGGATTTTTTGAAAAATTATCATCGGATTTGTCAGCAATATCAACGCTGGCTTCTTACAAGTGCAGCTTTGATCGATCAGGCACGATCAATAATTTGCTTCTTCGTATCAAAGTTAATATTTCTACACCAGTTAAACCAAGTTTTCATAAAATCGTGCATATGGTACTTACTCGGCGAAACTTGGACGATGACGTTTTTGGAAAAGTGCGCCAATATCGCTGAAAATTTCCATTGTAAAGAAATATACACCAGCATTTATATCCCTACTAACAAATGTTTCTGGCTTGTCTATATAATGAACAACTTCATTAGTTTTGTGATCAATTCCAGCACATCCATAATACTTGCTTTGCTCTCTGGGAACCTGAAATTGTGTACAAGTTTATAATATAATATATAAAGCACCGAAAAATCTGAAAAAGTACTTCGTTTCAAATTTGTTACTCCGCTAATCGGCATTCTCTCAAGTTTCGAATTTATTTTTTATTTTTCCCAAACGTCTACAACACTGGTACTCAACCAGTGGGCCACAGAAACATTTTTAGGTCACAAACATATTGAAAACTGCTAGAATTACTGATAAATTAGTTAAACTTTGATTGTAGTATCAATGAATGATGATGGTAATTCTCATTTTAATTATTAAAGTGCAAGTGTCCATCGTTTCGAAATAAATTTTTTGTTTTTCCCTTGCATGGGAAAGTTAATGGGCCACCGATTACATGTATCTTATAGAGTGTCGTGATAGCTCTAGAAATAGTCACATATTCGTCGAGGTACCAGGTTTGCGAAAAACGTATTTTATTTGTGATATTCGACCCCAATTCACGCCATTGCCAAATTCGAGATCACAAGCATCCCCAATGCGAATGAACAAGGGAGTATATAGTACTAGATACATAATTCGAATATGAAACCATGTAGTAAAGTATAAGCAGACATCAATTTACAAAAGAAAACTACTAATTTCTTTACAGCTCTTCAATGACATGAAATTAGTAGTAGTACGTAGCGTAAGCATAACATATTGATGCTACGTATTTTTACCTAGGTACTCACTTCGACTGTCATCATAATGAATTGCATGAATTTGGCTCTGAAATCCAGTATTTCACGCAGGGGAAATTCACAAAAAACATCGCTGTACAATACAAAGAATGCATCGGGATCGCCACTTGTTATGACGTCACGAAAATGATATAAACAGCCAGCAGTTCCAAGCATTGTATACTCTTGAAGATAACTGAAAAAAATATTGTTTTTATTTATTCAGGTAGTTTTTTTAAACTTATTTAGATTGTAAAGCACATGTTATGGTTATCATTTAGTGGACGTATCATACAAGTGTGGTTTAACACAGCTTACGCTGGTCTGCGAAAACAATAATGAACATTCAAGAGGTATAAATTTATATTTCATGTCTCTCAATCTGGCACGTTTAAGGTACAAACTTGATTTTATTGGGTTTTGAATTTTACAATTTGTGTTAATCAGACTCGGTCACTCATAATACGAATATGAGTTAATAATAGGTTGATTGCATCGTTGGCTAGAACCTATAGTGCTCACTAAGTTCAATGACCACTGCATCGAACAAACACATTCACACCTATTCAATCTGCGTTTCTCCGATTCTCACCTGATTGGTTTCACAATGATTTGACGTTGTCTCCTAATAAATCGATTCAGAGCGTCTGATGGTTGATAGAAGCCAACTAAGAGGATTTCCTCGATCTCTTCGAGCTAAATGAAAATTCAGTAGATTTGAATACCCAAAAATATATTTAAAGCTTCACGCAGTTCATGTATATAATAAAAATTGCCTTATACAAAGAGTTGAAAAATAGGTTCCTAAATAAAATATATCTCACAGAGAAGTGTGTTTCTCCACAGTTTTACAGTCATCGCCCTTACATATTCCTGAAATTTGCTATTATGTATACTTATATTCAGCCCCAAGATTTTATTCAAAATATGACTTCATGATCTTATCTTATCCTAATGGAAATGATTCTGAGTCTTATTCGCGAAATAATTACGTTTGGTTGTTGAAATATGTAAGTCATGATTACATCTATACTAACCTTTGCACACGCTTCAATATGATGATGCACCATTGGAAAACCGGCAATCGGAAACAGTGGTTTTGGAACGTCAAGACTCAAAGGTCTGAAGCGAGTACCTGAAAATAATGTGAGAACAAATTTGAGTAAATGAACAAAGATTCAAATGCGACCATATTCCCCATAATACAATGTCTGTGTATATACATTTTTTCGTAACATTAGCATCTTGACATATTTGACAAAATTTTATATTCCTATTTAGGAGTTGAGTTTGACGTGATTCATTGCAACGTTCATCAAATTTAATAATTTAAACCCCAGTTGTTGAACAAAAGATGATATTACAGAAGAGTCACATAACTGCCGTATGAATTGCTCTGTGCAACTTTGTTTAATCGTCAATGACTTCTAGGCATTTTGGTTGCAATTTAAAAGGCAACTACTGCGATATAAATCGAGAAAAAAATCTATTTATCTTCTCAGAAGTGAATACGTGGATCGCAACGACGCAATCAATACGTAGTAAATTGCCGCAGGCGACACGTCCTAGAAATGATCATAACACGAATATCATTTCCTCAACACAATGGATCTATATACGTTCAACGCGCATCATATATCGTACGTGCTTGACAGTGAATAGAAAATTCACCATAAACTAACTATGGCATGATGTGGAATTTTCAATATGACGGAGAGTTATCTATCTGAACATGATAAGCGAAATGTTCTGGCCAATATTCACTACAATTTCTTAATAATACCAGATAATAATATAAAAGTGGGCAAGGTATAATGTTTCATCTAAACTCATTTATCACTGGATAG